TAAAATTTAGAGCAAGGCCTCGGATACCATAGTGGTGAGGTTTAAGTAAGAGGTAGTTATGGTTTACAGAATCAAAGGCCTTTCTCAGGCCAATGATGAGGCCAATTGGGAACTCATTTTTGTTAAGGGTTGTGTAGATTATATTAAGCAAACTAATAATGGTATCACTGGTACTATTTTGGGAATGAAAGCCAAACTGGCAGGGACTTAATATGATGAATTTTACACAGTAGGAATAGAGCTGTTTGTATATAATTTTTTCAAATATTTTTGAAAGTATAAGTAGATTTGATATTGGTCTGTAATTATTTATATCAGCTGTCTCGCCTCCTTTATGAACTGGCATCACTCTTGCAGATATCACATTAAGGATATCAGGAAAAGTATGACACTAGAAATTTGTTGAACAGCAGGGCTATGAGTAGTGCCAGAGCAGGGGCAGCACACATATATATCATAGATGGTATTTCACAAATATTTCCAGCTGTGGTTTTAAGTGATTGAATTATGGATATAATGTCTGTCAGGTTGACTGGTAAAAGGAAGAGAGTTTGGATAGCTGCCAGTGAGATATATAGTAACATGTGTTTGGGTCTCTGGGATTTTTCTGACAAGGTTAGCACCAATCGATGAAAAGAAGCTATTGAATACAGTTGCAATTTCTAAGTCTGTTGCAAACATGTAACCATCTTTGGAGATTTTTATCTTCTTGTTATGAGATTGTTGTTTAGATCCTTGGATGTTAGAGATGGCTTTCCAAGTACTTTTCATTCCTTTTACTTCTTTAAATCTATTCTCATAAATGGAAACTTTGGCTCTTCATATTATATTGCTAAGCCTTGATGAGTATCTCTTATCTTCTTCTTTTGTAACTAGGCCTATCCTATGTTTTTTTTCATATTCGTGTTTCTTGTTAATTGATTTAAGTATGCCACTTGTAAGCCAGGGGTTGTTTAATCTTTTGGCAGTTACTTGCTTCATGAGGAGATGATAAGTGTGTGTTGTGAAGACTTAGGGTTTTGGAGAGAAAGATGTTGGCAAATGAATTTATATACTGTGTATTATTGAGTTAAGATTCCCAGTTTATACTGTATTGTGAAGTGCATTTAAGAGGTTCCCTATTGCTATTTGCTGTGTAATCTAAGGGTAAGTTTATTGGTAACCGAAGGTGTTATGTCCATGTTTGCCGAGATGAAGGTAGGATAGTGATCGGTTGTTCTGTCAGTGGTTATACAAGAGACAACTGGGGTGTTATATTAGTCCATATGTGGTCCCAGGTTGTAGCAGATGTTTGAGTAATTTGTGTTGGCTTGGCTACTGTGGGGGATTAGCATACAGGAGTTCATGCTGTTTAGGATGTATTCAACTTGGGGGTTATTTTGTTGACAGGGGTCAATATTGAAGTCCCCTCCTAGGATGATATAATTTTCGTTGAGTTTGTTGTTTATGATTAGATTCCTTATACTATCTGAGAATGCAAATGTATTAGTATTGAAAAATCTATAAATACTGTAGCTCCAATAGTTATTGACAATTTAAGGAGGCGTCTGGTTATAAAAATGCAAAAATGAAAACTCGTTCGATTTCAATCAAACTTTTTTGACAAGTTCTATATGAAAAGTGTTTCATCTGGTCCAAGTTTCAGCATCGTAGCATAAATAGGAAGGGAGAAAAAAAATATTGAAGTAGTTGTGAAAATTATGCCAAAATGGTCAAAATCGATTATCAATCAAAAGTGTCAACTGAAATCATAGCTACGACTCTTTGCTATCACAATACCATATATTAAACAAATATTAAAATTAGTTTAACTGAAAAAAAAATTAAGAAAAAAAAAGGATTTTTTTTTTTCAATTTTTTTTTTTTTCATTTTTTTTTCGGGCGATTTGCATCAAACTTACACACCTGACTGTACGTAAGCCTATCTGTAAGGATGCCAATTTTGGAGAAAATTGGTTGATGTCAACCTCAGCCACAGATTTTAGAACCTTAGACTTTATTCATTTCTGTTTTTTTTCAATTGACACAAACGTTTACAAAACTGATTCATTTTTTATTCAATTTACATGAAACTTACACAGTATATGTGGAGGGCATCTCTCTATATTGTGAAGTTTACATTTTTCTCTAAGTTCATTTATTGATTTTATAATAGCAATAAACATGCCATATTTGCAAAAAAAAAATTGGGAACTTTGAACATTTGTATTAGGAAAACTAAAGATTTTTGGAAATTCTATAACTCAAGGGCCTTTATTATATGCTAATGTGTCAGAAAAGTGTCACAGAATAATTACATCTGAAACGTGTGTTCTGAAGTGTGGACTTGAAAATGTGTAAAAAACGTTAAAAAAAAAAGAAAAAATCTCCCTTTCTATTTACGCTGCAGTACTGAAACTTGGGACAAATTCAGCACTTTTCATATACAACTAGTCAAATAATATTGGTTGACATTGAACCACTTTTACCTGACAAGCAGACGCCCCCTTAAGGTATTTGACTGAGAATTGAGCAAAGGTATATTCACAGTAGTCATCCCTATTGCTAATAACACTTGTGCAATTGAAGTTATTTTGATAATAGATAGCTGTACCACATCCTTTTTTGTCAAGCCTGCAGTTGTGAATGGCTTTATATCCAGCTAAGTTGTATAGTTGGGTATGGTCTTTACTTAGCCATGTTTCTGTTAAAATAATGAAAGATAGTTTAGTGCCTAGTGCTTCAAGTAGCGCATTGATGTCATCAAAATGTTTACCAAGTGATCTGACATTTTGGTTGAATACTGATGGGCTAGTGTTATTTTGGAGTTTATTTTTTGCAAGGTTTACTCTGAAGTAACTACCAACAGTGATGATCAATGTGCTGGTTATTGTAGATATGTGATAGCAAATTTAATTCAGGGCCAATGGTACCAGTAATTTGCATAGAGTAAGAATGGAGAAGACTTTAAAGATATTCTGATTAGAATAAGGGGGAGGTGTGTGACAGTAGATTACATTAAAAATTACAGTGGAACCTTGGTTTTCGAATGCTCCTGTTTTCGAATATTTCGGTTATCGAGCTCAAATTCCTTGAAAAATTTGACTCGGTACTCGAGGTTTGCCCCAGTGCTCGAGTCTGTTGATACACGTATGGGGCCAACCGAGCGCATGGCATGCTTCAGTTTACCAGTGTCTCACGCTTAGTAATGACTGCGCTTGAATTCTTTGTGAAGAATTTCATTGCTTTTTGCATTTTTGGTTTCTGAACATACAAGTTCTTATTATATATCATGCCATAGTTTCCAAAAAAGTCAGTGGTAAAGTTCAACCTAAGAAAATATTTGTGTGGATGACGATAGAGGAAAAACAAGAGACAAACTAATGTCTCACTACAGGTGTTAAAACATATGGAAAACAAGTGTCTACAGACAGATTTTTAGTAAGACAAGCAAGCAGTAAGCCACAACCAGGTCCTACTGGTATGCCTGCAAAATGTAAGAGAGTGAGTACCCCAGAAATGTCATCACTGCTGTTATAATGGAACGGGACTCCCCCTTCCAAACACTAATACATCTTCTCCCCTCCCCTTCCTCACTGTCTTCCATATGCCAACAAAAGTCCTCAATAAAGATAAGATATACTTGTACGTACTGTAGTAGAAAATATAAGTAATAGTATGTATAACATGTATTTTTAAGTTAATATTCTTGGGGTGTGGAACGGATTAATTCAATTTACGTTATTTTTATTGGAAAATTTGTTTCGGTTTTCAAACCGTCTCTGGGAACCAATTAAATTAGAAAACGAAGGTACCACAGGGGGCCTGACAGCTGAGTGGACGTCACTCGAGATTTGTAGTCCTAAAGTCAATCGCTTCGGTGGAGAGATTGAGCTCCACCGAGTTTGATCCCCAGTGGAGGCGAAAACAAATGGGCAGAGTTTCTTTCACCCTGATGTTTCTGTTCACCTAGCAGTAAATAGGTACCTGGGAGTTAGACAGCTGCTACGGGCTACTTCCTAGGGGTGTGTAACAAAAACGAGGCCTGGTCAAGGACCAGGCCGCGGGAATGCTAAGCCACGAAATCATCTCAAGATAACCTCAAGATAATCACTGTACAATAAAAATTAAAATTAAATAACCACAGTGAGATGAAAATGGAATATAAAAAGGGGGCATATGATTAATAATAAAATAAACTTTGCAAAATTACACTATAATATAATAATAATAGAAATAAACTAATTTCAGTAGAATAATAAAACTTAGGAGTAATCACAAAAAATTCAAGATATAAAAATAACTACAGTATAGCAAAAAATGCAAATACACGTATAATAGGAACAAGTAAAAGTGAAATAAAAATCACGGTAATTAGTCAAGGAGGATACAGATGTCAAGTTAAAAATAAAGATTCAATAAAGATTTACAAGAATAATATTCTATATTGAGATAAACTAGATTAATATTCTAAATATGTAATAACTATATTGCTATAGTTATTAATAAATAACTATAGCAGAAAATGCAAATATAAAAGGAACAAGTTAATAATGAAATAAGAATCAGTGTAATTAGGTAAGTAGGATACAGATGACAAGTAAAATTATAATTCAATAAAGATTGACAAGATTAATATTCAACAAGATTTTGGAATTATTAAAAACAAAAATAATGACAGTTAATTAAAGATAACAATTCAAATAATACAAACGAGTAGGTTTTAGCCAAAATACTTTACTAAAATTTTTACTTTAGATACTTTACTAGTTTCTGTTAAGATACTTACTAAGATACAGTACTAAGATACTGTATATAGATACTATATATGTATATATATACTAAGATACTGTATATAGATACTAAGATATATGTTAGGCTTATATTGAGGTCCCTCTAAGGTCGAACTACTGACCCAACCAAGCTGTAACTCCACAACAGTTGATTAACTTCCAGATACTGTACGTACCTAATTTACTACTAGGTAAACAGAGACACTAAGTGGTGAAAAATGTGCCCACCTAATCTTGTTCCGGCCGGAATTCAAACACGGAATTCCTGAGTAAGTTGAGATCGAACCAGATGGTACTACCGGGATCCATACCCATCCTGTGGATGTTAGTGGAAAAGGTTACAGAGGCACATAATACGCTCAGGGACTGAACCCAAACATTCATTTAGCTAAGCAAGTTATAATCTTGATTAGTTAGTTAAGCCGTTTAATGTACATTAACATTATATCAACAATGGCTTTGAGAGCAACCATAAGTACAGTCTCTAGGTTACCACATATGTAAGTAGCTTACTTATGTGGCGAGTTTCATAACTGATTTGCCTATCATGCATATAGGTCCCATCTCATGTGGGAATCAGAGGGAATGAAATCGCAGATGAAGCAGTGGCCAAAGCACATTTCTTAACATCTCTAGCAACCCTCTCTCTAGATCAACACGAAAGACCGTTACCTCTCAAAAAAGCCTGTTCTGCTCTTTGGCAGTCCAAATTAGACCCTTTACTTAAATTCAAATTCAAATTTTTATTCAAGTAAAAGTACATACAGAGAAGATGAGTTACGAACATAAAGTTGGATTTACAGATAGAGCTTGTACATACAATACCTTAAGCCACTAATATGCATAGTGTTTTGGGCAAGGTATGGGGGGAACACTTAGACTAAAACTTAATAGTAATTGAGATTAAACTATAAATTGTATTGAAAAAAGGAATAAAAATAAAAGTGGTGGGGGGGGGGGGGAACATGGCAGAAATCAGCAATTTTACAAATTGGTCAACAAATAGCATTGTTTAAAATAGCAAGACATGGGTTGACATTAAGACATCACAGATAGCAAACCTTTTCATGGTCCTGTCATAACACCCAGATACTCGATGTTTGTCTTACACGTTTTTGTATAGGCTACGTATATATACAATGTACTCCCTGCCCAGTTTTTCGTCTTCGGATGAATGACTCACCTGCTTGCTGGTGGTACCCACAACAAGAATGAAACATAGAACACTTCTTCTTTTATTGCCCATGTTTTTACTCCATTAGAACTCACTTTTGTAGCTACCTGCATAACCTTAATATTCCATATCTCACGTTTCCTGCCCTTCTTGACGGAGCGGGTCTTGGATTAAAGACATGTTATGCTGCCCTACAACACTTATTTAGCTTCATAACCTCTACAGGACTACATTGACACATATGAGCTGTGCCTAGGCTCATTACTGACTGTCATATTACTGTACTAATTCGCATATACCTGTGGCCTCGTCGAGGCCACTAGTCTTAGTGGCCCTCAGGTAAATCTTCACACTTCAACAATGCTTGTGAGCTGTGGCTCGTCCTCCCACTGACTGCTTTGTTCCACCAGTTTTTTAGTTAGTTTAGTTCATTTATTATGCCACCATCAAGGGAATATACTCTCACCGTCTTCTCCAAATTTAGACTGGCAGGGGAACATACCAACAACAACACATTACCCCCATCCAGTGGGGAGCAGTGAAAAAATTGCAAAACCAACATTTACTACCTATAGGTAGCAGCTTCTTTCTTCTTCGCGATACGCGCAGTTTGCAGGTTTTTCCTCCCGATGACTGCACCTAAGTAGCAGCTGACCTCTATGTTTACAAAAGTGGCTGAGAGATCGGTTAAACTACGGATCCAGGTCGCATAGCTGGCTTCCTCCCTCGTCTTAAACATGATACAAAAACTTTTTTTTTTATTATTAGGTATATTTACAAGCTTAGGTATACACAGCAATGTGCTGCTATCCTATTCTATATAAAAGATTATACAGTGTAGATAAAAAACTAGCTATAAGCTCACCTAATATTCCAATCTCACAGGATGGTTAGCTATACATGGAATCAGGGGTCGAAATGCCAGCCTCAATAAAAAAAAATGCAAACAAAAAAAATAAACACATAACATAACATAATGCTTAAGAATGCACAATATGGACAAAAATATTGTGCATATATTTTTGCACATATAAAATTAATAATATTAATTTACATTTCAGAACATTCCTATCTTGACTGAAAAGCATATTAAGGAAAAGAAGGTATAGTGTTTCGTGCGCCCCCATTTGGATTGCTGTATCCAAGCACGAAGACCTCATCTTCAGAATATAGCTGCTCTGTATAAAAATGCAACACTGGGTAACAAAAATCATCCCAGAACTATATCTACACCAACCAGCACATTAATCATCATTATTGCAAGTATTTCACAGCACACCAGGCTAAAAACAAACTTCAAAATAGCACCTGTCTATCAGTTTATAACCAAAATGTTAGATCACTTGGTAAACATTTTGACGATTTAAATGCATTACCCACAGCAATAGGTACTAACCTATCGTTCATTATTTTAACAGAAACTTGGCTAAATAAAGACTATACCCAACTCTACAACTTAGCTGGTTATAAAGCCATTCATAACTGTAGGCCTAATAAAAAAGGTGGTGGCACAGCTATATATTACCGAGATACATTTATCTGCAACAGTGTTATTAGTGACAGAGATGACTACTGTGAATATACTTTTGCTCAGTTTACAATTAAATCCCTTAAATCCTCTTTGACTATTGGAGCCATCTATAGATTTCCCAATACTAACATAGCTTCTTTTTCAGACAACCTAAGGAATCTTATTATAAACAACAATCTCAACAAAAACCACATCATTCTGGGAGGAGATTTTAATATTGACCTGGGTCAACAAAATTGCTCTCAAGTTGACTATTTCCTTAACAGCAAAAAAAAAACTAGCATGAACTCCTGTATGCTAATCCCCACTATCACCAAACCTACCCGAGTCACTCAAACATCAGCCACTACCTTGGACCACATATGGACAAACATAACAGCTCCCCTTGTATCTGGTATAATCTACGACAGAACAACTGACCACTATCCTACCTTTCTCATAGCGAACATGGACACAACACCACCAAAAAGCAAGAAACTTTCATTTAGGCTACACAGTGAATCAGCTTTAGACAATCTTATAGAGGCACTTTACAATATTAACTGGGATTCTGAATTCAATAATACCCATGATATAAATTCATTAGCTAACCTCTTCCTCTCCAAAACTATAAGCCTCTACAACCTTCATTGTCCCCTTCTTACCAAGCAAGTAACTGACAAAAGATTAAACAATCCATGGCTCACAAGTGGCATTCTCAACTCAATCAACAAGAAACATGAATATGAAAAGAAAGTTAGGATTGGCCTAGTTTCAAAGGAAGTAGCTAAAAGGTACTCATCAATGCTTACCAGTATCATAAGAAAGGCAAAACATGCATATTATGTGAATAGATTCAATGAAGCAAAAGGCAACATGAAAAGCACTTGGAAAACTATCTCTAGTATCCTAGGAACTAAACAACACTCACATAACCAAATAAAACTCTACAAGGATGGTGATATACCGTCAACTGATTTAGAAATGGCAAATGAATTTAATAGTTTCTTTTCATCGGTTGGTGCTAATCTTGCCAGTAAAATCCCACAGACTCAGACTCATATTAGCACATATCTCTCAGGCAGCTATCCAAACTCTCTTCTCCTTTCACCAATCAGCCCGGCAGATGTTGTGTCCATCATACATTCTCTAAAAACCAAGGCAGGGAACACCAGTGAAATTCCGTCCATTGTGTACAAGAGAGCCTCCCATGCCCTTGCCCCACCCATAGCACTACTGTTCAACAAATCTATAGAGTATCACACCTTCCCTGATATCATCAAAAAAGTAAGAGTAACGCCAGTCCATAAAGGAGGCAATCCGGCGGACATAAACAATTATAGACCAATCTCAAATCTACCCATTCTATCAAAAATATTTGAAAAAATTATTTACAAACAGCTCTATTCCTACCTCGTAAAATTCGACATACTCAGCCCCTGCCAGTTTGGCTTCCGGTCCCAAAAGAGCACCAACGATGCAATCATTAGTCTCCTTGACATTATCTACTCAGCCCTTGACAAAAATGAGTTTCCGATTGGACTCTTCATTGACCTAAGAAAAGCCTTTGATACTGTTAATCACAACTACCTCTTACTTAAACTCCAGCATTATGGAATCCGAGGCCTTGCCCTTGACTACATCCGATCCTATCTTAGTGACAGACACCAATATGTGACCATCAATGATACAACTTCTTCCACTCTACCAATTACCGTTGGAGTACCACAGGGCAGCATCTTAGGACCTCTTCTATTTCTTATATATATAAACGATCTGCCTAATGTCTCTAATATTCTCAAACCTATATTGTTTGCTGACGATACTACCCTTATCTACTCAAACCTCAACCCACATACACTAAATAATGTTGTGAATAATGAATTAAAAAAAGTCCACTTATGGATGTCAACGAACAAACTAACATTAAACATCGAAAAGACTTACTACATCTTATTTGGAAGCAAATCATCAAATGCAATTCAGCTACAGATAGACAACATTAACATCAGTAATAAAAATGATGGCAAGTTTCTTGGCCTATTCCTAGACAAGAGACTCAACTTCAGCACCCACATTCAACACATAACTAAGAAAGTCTCTAAGACAGTTGGTATACTCTCCAAAATCAGATATTATGTTCCTAACTCTGCTCTCCTCTCACTATATTATGCACTAATCTACCCCTATCTTAATTATGGTATCTGTGCATGGGGGTCTACCACTGCAAACCACCTTAAGCCCATCATCACACAGCAAAAATCTGCTATCAGAATAATAACTAACTCTGCTTTCAGACAACACTCAGCTCCCTTGTTTAAATCCCTAAACTTGCTAAATATTAACTCCCTCCACACATTCTCTTGTGTCAACTACATTTACAAAACCCAGTTCTTAAATGCAAACCATGCTCTGAAACTCTCCCTGGACAGATGTAATAGGACCCATTATCACCACACCAGAAATAAATATCTCTTTGATATCCCCAGGGTCAAACTTAATCTGTGTAAACACTCTATGCAAATTAAGGGACCTAGTCTATGGAACTCACTCCCTAGTGAATTGAAAAACTGTAAAACTTTTGCCTTATTTAAAAGCAAAACCAAAAAGTACCTAACTTCATCTTCCTAGTTTCCTACACTGAGCTTTAAATTTGCTCTGTACCTAGTGTTACCCAATCTCCTAATTTTTATGTAATATCAAACAACCTTATCATTGTGTTCATTGCTGTCTTCTTTTATGTGCTAGCCATATGCTGTATTGTGACTACCAATTTTTGTCAACTACCATTCAAGCTGTCATTGCAATCAATCTTATATTGTTTCTGCTGTATTGTGCCTACCAATTTGTTGTCAACTACCATTTTAAGCTGTCATTGCAATCAATCTTAGCTACCTATGTGCTTTAATATACTGTACCGACAATTTTCTCTCGTCTTTTTTTTTTTTTAATTTCATGTAATCTGTTATCATTTTTTTGTCTATAAATTTTGCAAGTATTTACCTCCTTAAAATTTTCTTAGATTAAGGACCTGCCCGAAACGCTGCGCGTGCTAGTGGCTTTACAAGACTGTAATTACCATATTTGTATCCTCACATTCCTTATGTACATTCTTGTATATGCATAAATAAATAAATAAATAAATAAAGTCAGCACTCGTACTAGGAACGGTTGAGGACCACAGGGCTAACGAACACTGCAAACCAGGCATCACAGGGCGGATCTCATTTAAACTTTAAAAATACTGAACAAGTTAGAGCATCTTGATCCGGACAATTCCCTCAGAAGTTCAGATGTAACACAAACAAGGAGCAACGGTTTCAAGCTCAACAAGCCACAATATAGGACTGAGAATAGGAGATATTTTTTCATCCACAGGGCTACAGAAATAGGCCCAAAATTCCCCTTCGAATTTTGCTTTGATTTTTGCCTCTGACAACTTAGGGAAGACGCATTGAAGGTCCGTGACGAACGCTGTCGACTCCTCGCCCCCATTGTGCGATAAACGCCATCGATACGTTCGATATGGCAAACACAGTCACTGAGAGGGGTGTCGACGACATACATGCAGACTTTGTTATACAAGCCCCTTGGGAATCTCTGCCAGCAGACTTTCAGATTATGGCTCTTGAAGGAAAGAAGAACCAGACACATCCTCATCTGCTCCGTCACTTTGCACAGATGCATATAGAAGCAAACATGGCATCAGACAGCTTCACTTACTTCACGGATGGGTCAGTAGACCAGCAGGGACAGGAAACCGGAGCTGCAGTTAAAGCAGGAAACTCTGTATATAGTTGGAGGCTCTCAAATGGGTGTTCGACTTTACAGACTGAGATGCTAGCCATTCAAAAGGCTTTGGAACATGCTCTTGCTGAACACCGCCAACATGTTATCGTCCATACAGATTCGAGAACCGCCATTGAAACCTTGCAACAGGAACACATATGTGATAACATCCATCTGATCACCAATGTCTTATCATTCATGCACACACTCCACCGACAAGGCCGACGGGTGCTTATCAACTGGGT